AAACAGAATATCCACATATCCGTCACTGTGTCCCAAGTATCATTTTTTTTTTTTTCAATTTCAGATTTTTAGTAACTCTCTTAGAAGGAATCTTCTTTCTTCTAAAATAAAAAATACATAGGGGCACCTGGGTGGCTCAGTCAGTTAAGCATCTGACTCTTGATTTCAGCTCAGGTCATGATCTCACGGTTCATGAGTTCAAACCCCGTATCTGGCTGTGCGCTGATAGCATGGAGCCTGCTTGGGATTCTCTCTCCCTCTCTCTCTCTCTCTCCTTCCCATGTTCATGCTCTCTCTCTCTCTCAAAATAAATAAATACTCTTAAAAAAAGAGAACAAAACAGGAGTGTCTGGGTGGCTCAGTCGGTTAAGTATCCAACTTCAGCTCAGGTCATGATCTCACGGTTCCTGAGTTCAAGCCCCATGTCGGGCTCTGTGCTGACAGTGCAGAACCTGAAGCCTGCTTCAGATTCTGTGTCTTCCTCTCTCTGCCCCACCCCTGCTCACACTCTGTCTCTCTCTCTCTCAAAAATGAATAAACATTAAAAAAGAAAAAAAGAGGGGCGCCTGGGTGGCACAGTCGGTTAAGCGTCCGACTTCAGTCAGGTCACGATCTCGCGGTCCGTGAGTTCGAGCCCCGCGTCAGGCTCTGGGCTGATGGCTCAGAGCCTGGAGCCTGTTTCCGATTCTGTGTCCCCCTCTCTCTCTGCCCCTCCCCCGTTCATGCTCTGTCTCTTTCTATCCCCAAAATAAATAAACGTTGGAAAAAAAATAATAATTTAAAAAAAAAAATAAGGGGCGCCTGGGTGGCGCAGTCGGTTAAGCGTCCGACTTCAGCCAGGTCATGATCTCACGGTACGTGAGTTCGAGCCCCGCGTCAGGCTCTGGGCTGATGGCTCAGAGCCTGGAGCCTGTTTCTGATTCTGTGTCTCCCTCTCTCTCTGCCCCTCCCCCATTCATGCTCTGTCTCTCTCTGTCCCAAAAAATAAATAAACGTTAAAAAAAAAAATTTAAAAAAAAATAAATAAAAATTAAAAAAAAGAAAAAAAGACTAGATATATTCTTTAAAAAATAATATAAATAAATAAATAATATTAAAAATAAAAATAAAATCACCTTTTTTGCACCAAAAGACATCTCAAGAAATCTTTCTTGACCAAACGCCCACTACTCCAAAACCTCATCACAGGCACCCCTAATATTTCATTTTATACCACATTTTGTTTATCCATTCACCAACTGATGAACATGGGGGTTATTTCCACTCTTTGACTACTACAGATAACACCGCTGTGAACATTCATGGACAGGTTTTTGTGTGAACATCTGTTCAATTCTCTTGGACATTATTTCCCAATGGAATCAGGAGACCATTTGATCTTGGACTTCCAGCCTCCAGAACTCTAAGAACATAAATGTCTGTTGTTTAGCTCCCCAGTCTGTGGTCTTTCTGTTATGGAAATGGCAACAGAAAACTAATACGAGCTTTGGGGCACGTGGGTGGCTTGGTTGGTTGGGCGTCTGACTTCAGCTCAGGTCATATCTCATGGTCATGAGTTCAAGCCTCACATCAGGCTCCAATGCTGATAGCTTGAAGCCTGGAGCCTGCTTCAGATTCTGTGTCTCCCTCTCTCTTTGGCCCTTTCCTGCACACGCGCCCTCTCTCTCAAAAGTAAATAAACATTAAAAAAATTAAAACAAAAAACTAATACAAGCCTCTTCTCTCACCCATCCTCAGTGCTAAAGGACAGCAATGTAGTTCAAGGGCAGCACTAAGGATGGGTGAGAGAAGAAGCAAATTTGGTGGGGGGGTTGGGGGGACACAGTTCAATCCATAACAAGGTGATAAGACAGGAGATGAGTAGAGACCAGAAACAGATCGCAAGAGTCTTGGGAGACATGTTTGGGGACATTCTTCCTCACCCACCCACCTCCAGAGGTCCCCAGGGATTTGGCTTCACGGAGAGTCCCCTTTCTGTCCTTTACCTTCCAGATAGGACTAAGCAGCCTTTTCAAAGTTGTCCAGGTAAGAACAGACCCAGTGGGAAACGGCAGAGAGAAAAAACCAGGAAGAATAAATGCCTGGGAGGTGTTATGCAAATTAGATGCAAATGACCCACCTATTCAGGGTTCCTTCAGTGGGTCAGCTGCTCAGCACTATGGAAAAGAACCTAAGCCTTTAATTCCTGCATTCAACAAATCTGAGGGCCTATTGTGCCAGGGACTGTTCTAGGCCCTGGGGCCCCTGCAGAGCTTTTGTTCTAGGCCTGTACCATCCAACATGGTGGCCACTGGTATGGTTGGCTATTACGCATTTGCAATGTAGCTAGCCTGAACCGAGATGTGCTAAGGTATAAAATACATGCCAGATTTCAAAGACTTAATATAAAATATCTCATTAATAATTTCTATATTGAATGCATCTGAAATGGTGTTTTTTACATATATGATTAAACAAAAATATATTATTAAAATTAATTCCATGTATTTCTTCTCACTTTATTTTTTTTTTATTTTTTTGATGTTTATTTATTTTTGAGAAAGAGAGCACAAGTGGGGGAGGGACAGAGAGAGAGAGGGAGGCATGGAATCTGAAGCAGGTTCTAGGCTCTGAGCTGTCAGCACACAGCCTGACGCAGGGCTCGAACCCACAAACTGTGAGATCAAGACCTGAGCAGAAGTCAGACGCTCAAACTCTGAGCCACCCAGGTGCCCCTTTACTTTACTTAAAAAAAAAAAATTTTTTTAATGTTTATTCATTTTTTGAGAGAGAGAGAGAGAGAGAGACAGAGCGTGAGTGGGAGAGGGGCAGAGAGAGAGGGAGACAGAATCCAAAGCAGGCTCTGGGCTCTGAGCTGTCAGCACAGAGCCTGACTCGGGGCTTGAACCCATGAACCGCGAGATCATGACCTGAGCAGAAGTCAGACGCCCAGCTGACTGAGCCACTCAGGAGCCCTTTTACTTTACTTTAAACGAGACTCCTAGAAATTTTGAAATTACATATGTAACTCACATTTATAGCTCACATTCAATTCCTCTTGGACTGTGTTGTCCTAGACAAGGCTCCACCTGGAAACCCTGTCTGATCAAGCTCATTCTGGTGGACAGAAACAGAGGGGGCATTAACTGGGACCACCATTCCTAAGGATTAGGGGATTTGGAGGAAATACCTCTAGCTGATGATACCTATTTTAAAATGAGCTGCAGGAGCTGAAATAAATGGTAAAAAAGAGGGAAATAAAGAAGAGATCAGCGCACTGCTGGGGAGAGCAGGAGGGACATAAAAAGTCTCTGAGGCCTGAGAGCCAATTTTCAACTTGCCTTCTGTGCTAGGTAAAATCATGCCCCCCCCCACCCCCAATGTTCTAATCCCTGGAGCCTGCCAGTGTATTATCTGACCTGGCAAAAGGAACCTTGCAGACGAGATGAAGTTCAGGATTTTGAGCTGAAGAGATTATCTTGGATATCCAAGTGGACCCAATGTAACCACCAGGGTCCTTATAAATGAAAGAGGGAGGCAGAAGTGTCAGAAGATGTGGAGGTGGACACAAGGAATACAGGTGGCCTCCAGAAGCTAGAAAAGGCAAGGAAATGGCTTCTGCCCTCAATTTTCCAGAAGGAATGCAGCCCTGGGACACCTTGGTTTTAGCCCAGTGAGACCCATTTCAGATTTCTGACCTCTCAAGCTAGAAGATAATAAATTTATATTGGTGGAAACCTCTAAGTTTGCAGTAATTTGTTACAGCAGCAACAGGAAACTAATACACTCCCTTGCCTGCTGGATGTTTCTTTGAGTTGCATTCCTCACTAGTTGAGAGAACCACTTCCTTCTCTGGTATAGTAGGGAAAGCTCTAGATTGGGTCTTTGGACAAGTCCCTTTTCCTCTCTGCTAAGGCTGGGGGCAGGGAGACTGAATAAAATGCGTGGCATTCGAGCAGAGAGGAGTGACCATTTGTCTGCACTGGGCACCAGCGTAGATGTCATTACTAACATTAGGATTAAACATTGCCAAAAATCTGGATGGCTGTCCAGCGTCTCATTCAGTTCTGAGAACAGTCCCATGAATTAGATAACTATTATCATCCCATTTTATTTTATTATTTTTAAAATTTTTTAACGTTTATTTATTTTTGAGAGGGAGAAACAGAGTAGGAGTGGGGGAGGGGCAGAGAGAGAGAGAGAGAGAGAGGGAGACACAGAATCCGAAGCAGGCTCCAGGCTCTACGCTGTCAGCACGTGAACCATGAGATGGTGACCTGAGCTGAAGTCGGACACTTAGCCGACTGAGCCACCCAGATGCCCCTACTATTATCATCCCATTTTAAAGCTAAGGCAACCAAGGTCAGAGAGGTTGGGTAACTTGTCCACAGTCACTAACATGAGCCAAGAGTTGATCCTGGTTCATAGATGATGGCCTTTTGCTGATGGCGGGGAATGGAGGGAATCTGACCGAGAGCGTAGATGCATAAATTTCATTCCTCTGTTCATCCCACAGAGAGCTGGCATTCAGGGTGGAGTGACGAACAGCTCGGGCCAGATGTATCTCATCATGGGACCGAGGGAAGAACTGGGGGGCTGCTTTCACAGAAATATGTGCTTCTGAGCCTGAGAGCCCAGTGCCCTCCCAGGGGCATCATGACCAAATTCATCATGGTTCCTGTCCTTGCTTTCCTTGGGAATCACCCCCAATACAGGCCCCCCTCTCTCATCCGCATTGCTCTCTGCGTTGTCTTTCTCTGCCCATCTCCTGCCTCCCTCCATCCTTCCCAAACTCTTCCACGGTGACCCCTACGAACCTCCCCCTGAATGTTCCTTCCAACTTGCACCCTAAGGAAAACCAGCTCCTTCCCCGAAGATACTCCCACAATCCTAACTGAAGGCTCTTTGGTACCCCCACTCACCGAACAAGGTCCAGAGGAGGAGAGGGGTAGTCAGCATATGCCGCAGAAACAAATGAGCCCCAAATCCGGTGGTTCACACAAACAAAGGTAGAGACTCACCGGTGTCTCCTTGTCCGACACGGGTTGGCTGGGCTCTGCTCCACGTCTTTGTTCACGCACCCAGGCTCTTCATTCATGGGCAGCCTCTGAAACATCGCCGATCCCCTGGCAGAGGGAAAAGACGTGTGGACAGCCATGAGCTGGCTTTTGAATCTTCCACTCAGAAAAGATACACGTTGGGGCGCCTGGGTGGCTCAGTCGGTTAAGCATCCGACTTCAGCTCAGGTCAACATCTCGCAGTTCATGGGTTCGAGCCCCGCGTCGGGCTCTGTGCTGACAGCTCAGAGCCTGGGGCCTGCTTTAGATTCTGTATCTCCCACTCTCTCTGCCCCTTCCCTGCTGGTGCTCTGTATCTCTCTGTCTCTCAAAAATAAATAAACATTAAAAAAAAAAAAGAAAGTTAAAAAAAGAAACGAAAAGAAAAGGTACAACGTCACTCGTGTTCACATTTCATTGTGAGTCATACAGCCGAGCCTCGTATCAACTGGGTATCCTTCAGGAGAGACAGCAACTATTGTGAACGGTAATATAATGTGTTATCATATTGGCATATTGGCTGTTTCCAGATAATACTATTCCCTCTCCAGACTCCTATTTTTTTTCACCCTGCTTGCCCTTGACGGATCTCCTAGAATGACAACCAGACCCCCTTGTCTTCCAGCTCTTCACACAGTCCCCTGAGAAATCTGACAGTCACACTCAGCTCTTCCTTCTCCTTCACCCCCTATCAGATCCTTTAGAATGTTCCAGAAGTTCTCTGTCATTTCTTTCAGTCCCTAGAGAAGCGGCCCTCCTCCAAGCCACCAACACTTCTTGCCTGAAGCTGCAACGGCTTTGCTTACTCTACGATTAATTCCTCATTTTGCCCACGAACAGGGAAGGTCCAGCCACACTGCCTAAACCCCTCCATAGTTTCCCACGGCCTCCAGAGAGAGTCTAAAATCCTTATCTTGTGACGCCTGGGTGGCTTAGTTGTTAAGCATTGGACTCTTGGTTTCAGCTCAGGTCATGATCTCATGGTTCGTGGGCTCAAGCCCCGCATCGGGCTCCGCACTGTCAGTGCAGAGCCTGCTTGGGATTCCCTCTCTTCTCTCTCTCTCTCTTTCTCTCTGCCCCTACCCTGATGGTGTGTTTTCGCTCTCAAAATAAATAAATAAACTTTAGCAAAATAAATAAGATACGGGCGCCAGGTGGCTCAGTCGGTTAGTGTCCGACTTGGGCTCAGGTCGTGATCTCGTGGTTTGTGAGTTTGAGCCCCACGTCGGGCTCTGTGCTGACAGCTCGGAGCCTGGAGCCTGCTTTGGATTCTGTGTCTCCCCCTCTTTCTGCCCCTCCCCTGCTCATGCTCTGTCTCTCTCTCTCTCAAAAACAAACATTAAAAATTTTTTTAATAGATAAATAAATAAATTAATTTAATTTAATTTAATCCTCACCTTTTCCTAGAAAGCTCTTCCCAGCAGGCTTCTGTTTGCTGCCTCAGGTCCTGCCACTGCCTTGGTCACTCTGCAGTCCAGCCACTGATACTTTAATTGCTTTAGGGCTTTCACAACACAGTTCTCTTTGCCTGGAACTCTCTTTACCCACCCCCACTTCATCTCTCAGGTCTCAACTTCCTCATTGAGGCCTTTACATCCAGCAGGTTCTTTCTGTACAAGTACTCCTGCAGTGCCCCTATTGCCCCTTCTGAAATACTTAACACTCCCCCCCCCCCCCCACCCACCTCACTTGCTCAGTGCCCCTCCTGCCCACCCAGACCGGAGCAGCGTGAAAGCAGTGGCTGTCTGTGCCATTGCTATGTGACAGTATAGTGACCATGCTCAGTAAATATTTTTTCAGGGACACCCAGGTGGCTCAGTTGGTTAAGCGTCTGACTCTTGATCTTAGCTCAGATCACAGTTTGTGGTATCTCATGGCTCGTGGGATTGAGTCCTGCATTGGGCTTAGCATGGAACCGTAGCCTGCTTGGGATTCTCTCTCCCTCTCTCTCTCTCTTCTGCCTCTCCTCTGCTTGCTTTAAAAAGTTTAAATAAACTTTTTAAAAATTTATTATTTATTTTTGAGAGAGAGACAGAGTACAAGCAGGGGAAAGGCAGAGAGAGAGGGAGACCCAGAATCCAAAGTAGGCTTCAGGTTCTGAGCTGTCAGCATGGAGCCCGATGAGGGGCTCAAACTCACGAACAGGGAGATCATGATCTGAGCCACGTAGGCGCCCTAAGGACAGAAGATGGAAGACAGACTGTTCATCAGAGCAGAAATGATTACAGATCTGGCTGCCCTGTTAGAATCCTGGCTCCACTGATGATCGGTGTGGGCCCTGGATGAGTAATTTTAAACTCTGTGCCTCAGTTTCCTCATTTGTAACAAGAGAGTGATAACAGTATGTTCTTCACAGGGATATTTGGGAAGGAGAGTGTGGTCAGGTTTAAATAAACCGTGAGATCACGGCCTAAGCCAAAGTTGGAAATTTAACCGACCAAGCCACTCAGGCACCCCAATAAATAAACTTAAAAAAAATATTTTTTCAGGGAGCCTGGATGGCTCAGTCAGTTAAGCATCTGACTGCAGCTGGGGTCATTATCTCACAGTCCGTGGGGTCATTATCTCACAGTCCGTGGGTTCAAGCCCCGCGTCGGGCTCTGCGCTGACAGCTCAGAGCCTGGAGCCTGCTTCGGATTCTGTGTCTCCCTTTCTCTCTGTCCCTCCCCTGCATGTGCTCTGTGGGTCTCTCTCCCTCAAAAATAAATAAACGAAAATATTAAAAAAAAATATTTTTCCAGTGACAGAATGAATTTGTCATACATAGAAACTGAGAGAAGGAAATCATCAAGGTTAATGGATGCCAATTAGCCATGAGTAAAGTAGCCTCCTGACCTCATCAAGAGAGGCAGAAGAGGCTGGGACATTTGTGCCACCTCTGGATCCCTTAGTCATGAACTCCCCCATACACCCTTCCCTTCCTGCACTTCCCTCGAAGCTTCTAGACCTCCTGCAGTGCCTTCCTCACCCACGCCCATTGAAAGAAATCTGGTTTCGTGACTGCGAGAGTGTTTCCTCCCCTCTTCCTCACCTCTGCTGTTCTCACCTCTCCCCCAGTCCTTCCCCGCACATCCCACACGTCCTGCCAGCCAACTCAGCTGGAAGAGTCTGCAGCTTCCCTGAGATGTCATCTGTCCTCAGATTCCTTGCTGAGCAGAAGGATTTGAATGACACCCTGAAAGAAGAAATGTCCTGACGTATCAGTGAGACACATCCCAGGCCTGGGTTTCTCTGTCTGCCAAACCAGGCTGTGCTGTGGGTGTGACATGAACAGCTTTGGAGAGGCCCTCGAAGCTTAGTGCCTCTCTCTTTTTTTTTTAACGTTTTATTTATTTTTGAGAGAGAGAGTGGCGGGGGGGGCGGTACAGAGGATCTGAGGCGGGCTCCATTCTGACAGCGACGAGCCCGGTGTGGGGCTCAAACTCAAGAACAGCGAGATCATGACCCCAGCCGAAGTCGGACGTTCAATGCACTGAGCCACCCAGGCGTCCCCGCAGTGCCTTCTTCTGGGGCTAAGACGTGTCTGAAATCATCGCCCTGGAGACGGTGTTAGGTCACCAGAGCGGCCAGCCACGAAGTACCACAGACTGAGTGACTCAAACAACAACAGAAACGAAATTTTCTCACAGTTCTGGAAGCTATATATGCAAAGATGGCGGTGCTGGCAGGGTTGGGCTCTTCCGAGGCCTCTCTCCTCGGTTGGCAGACTGTTCCGCATCACTGGTTCAGTTTCTGGTTTTCTGACCAAACCCCCAGTTGCTGCTGCACTTTGCCTCCTGTAGCCACGCGAGTAATTTGGACCCGTGGGATGTAAGCAGAAGTAAGGTGGCCACTTCCGGTCATGTCCTTAAAATGAAACGAATCGCTCCATACCCGCGAGTTGTGTCTTCTCGCACACGTGAGCGCAGGAATTGTGGGGACAGCGGGATGGCTTCGGCCATGCGAGTTGGGATGATGCTCAGAGCTGGGCCAGACGAAAGTTGGGACCTCTGACCTCTTAAAATGGGGCCACCCAACCACTCTGTTTGGGGGGGGGGGTATGTGTGTGTGAAATAAATGTCTTCTGAAGCATTCTGTTCTGGACTCTCTTTGTTGTACCTCAGTCCAAACTCTACTGCAGACGGCTCTAAAAAGCAAAAATATAGAGTCCCCAAAACTTCAATAATAGAATACAAATAACAATTGAGTCTAAAAATTAAAATATCGGGTGTCTGGGTGCCTCAGTCGGTTAAGCATCCGACTTCCGCTCAGGTCATGATCTCACGGTTGGTGGGTTCGAGCCCCGAGTCAGTGTCTGTGCTGACAGTTCAGAGCCTGGATACCTGCTTTGGATTCTTTGTCTCTGTCTCTCTCTGCCTCGCCGCTCCTTGCGCTCTCTCTCTCTCTCTCTCTCTCTCTCTCACACAAATAAACATTAAAAATTTTAAGAAATAAAATAAAATAAAATAAAATGTCATCAAGTAGGTTTTAATAAACACCAGAAAGTTGGGGTGCCTGGGTGGCTCAGTCAGGTTAAGCGTCCGACTTCAGCTCAGGTCATAATCTCACAGTCCATGAGTTTGAGCCCCGCCTCGGGCTCTGCGCTGACAGCTCAGAGCCTGGAGCCTGCTTCGGATTCTGTGTCTCCCTCTCTCTCTGTCCCTCCCCCGCTCATGCTCTGTCTCTCTCTGTTTCAAAAATAAATAAAAACATTAAAAAAAAAGTTTTAAATAAACACCAGAAAGTTAATAACATAAGGCACTATACAATGGAGTAAACTAGGAAAGTCACGTGTTTGCCTCCACAGATTAAAAAAACAAAAAATTGACAATGTTCAACACCTATTAATGACAAAAACTCCCAGAAAACTAGGGAGAGAATCTCTATATCTATATCAAATATCAAATATCTATAATTTGATAAAGACTCATCTACCACAAACTTCATGCTTAATATAGAACCTTATTCCCTCCAAGGACAGTAAGAAGACATAGCTGGCCTCCATCACCATTATTGTTCACTCCTGGGGGTCCTGTCGTTATAAATATTATTATGAATAAAAATATATACATAAGATGTGTCTGGGTGGCTCAGTCGTTTAAGCATCTGACTCTTGGTTTCGGCTCAGGTCATGGTCTCACGGTTTGGTGAATTTGAGC